ATCCAAAAATATTTGACATGCAGAGAAAAAATGACAACACATTGCAACAATATACGCTATATGAAAAAAGTGACGTCTACAGTGTTGGCGTACTGTTATGGGAGATATCAAGCGGTTATCCTCCCTTTAATGTTAAGAATAAAGGATATGATATTGGTTTAGCTATCCAAATTTTAGGAGGACTTAGAGAAAAGATCATTCCCGGCACACTTGAAGATTATGTGAACATTTACACTGGTAAATATATGTATAATTATGAAATTATTTATAAGAATATAATAAGTATTAAATTTTATATCTAATTTCAGAGTGCTGGGATAATGAGCCGGATAATCGTCCATCAATGAATCAAGTAATTGATAAATTAAATGCAATTATTACGATACCCAACAGAGAAGAGAATAAACAGGCGAATAATTATCAGTCAAATCTTCAACGTCGTTTAAATAACAACAATACTTCTTCTAACTTAAATAATACATTTGGAGAAACATCTCAAATTATTCGATTTGATCAGATAAATTATCAAAAGAATAATTATGCATCAAATAATTCCGAAATTATTCATGATTTGGCTGGTCAGAATAATTTCGGAGTATCAGATATTATTTATGATGATACTATTGAAAGTTTAACGATTACGGAATTTAATAAGGATGAAATATTAAACACTTTAGGAGGATTACAAAGATATCACAAATTAACTAAACTCTTTTTCATTGATACTAAAATAACTATCCTACCAACTTTACCCAACTCCATAAAAATGCTCAATTGTAGTAAAACTCAAATAAATATCCTATCAACATTACCAAACTTCTTAACTGAACTTAATTGCTCTTATACTAAAATAACTATCCTACCAACTTTACCCAACTTCTTAACGGAACTTAATTGTTCTTGTACTCAAATAACTATCCTACCTACTTTACCCAACTCCTTAACTAATCTTTATTGTTCTTATACTCCAATAACTTTCCTACCAACTTTACCCAACTCTTTAACGGAACTTAAGTGCTCTTTTACTCAAATAACTATCCTACCAACTTTACCCAACTCCTTAACGGTACTTTGGTGTATTAACACTAAAATAACTATCCTACCAACCTTACCTAATTCCTTAACGGTACTCAGTTGTTATAGCACTAAAATAACTATCCTACCAACTTTACCCAACTCCTTAACGAAACTTAATTGCTTTAATACTCCAATAAATATCCTACCAACTTTACCCAACTCCTTAATGGAACTTAATTGCTCTTTAACTCTAATAACTATCCTACCAACATTACCCAACTCCTTAACGGTACTCAAGTGTAAAAGCACTAAAATAACTATCCTACCAACCTTACCCGACTCCTTAAAGGAACTTAATTGCTCTTATACTCCAATAACTATCTTACCAACTTTACCCAAATCCTTAACATATCTCCATTATATCGGTACACAAATTAAAAACTTACCAAATATACCCGATTCCTTATCGTATATCTACCCCAAATCCTTAAAACCTAAAATACAACATAACTACTCTATGCGTTTGAAATAATTGCTTTAAATTTAATGCTCAAGATTTTTGAAGAGTAGCTATATAATATACATTCTTGGTAAGCAATTGGCAAAAGTTAAAACCTTATATTTTGCCGGATTTGTTAATAAGTCTTTAATATAGGTTTGACTTTGATGAGATTTAAATTATGGTTTTGAGTTTTGAGGGTTTGCTAATGATCCATCGAAACCTGATGAAATTAGCTAGGTAATAATAAATCCCGGTAATTTATGTTTTATCCTTTTTAATAAGCGAATATCAAAAATTTGTTAGGATTACTTTACAAATTTATTGACAATTTGTGATATTACTTTAAATATTAAAGAAATTTTTATCAAACTTTCTCTTTTAACTTGTAAATTATTTCATAAGCTCTTAATGATTTAAATTGAATCACTAATCACATTTTGCATCAACTAATGAATTATTATTATACACTATTTTGATTTAAACCCAATGGCTTTTTATCAAAATATTAAATGAAAATATTGGATTAATTTATCATATTCAATAGAATTAAATTCTGTCCGTTTAGGCTTCACTTGATTAATTATAAGAGATAATTTATTTTAGCGCTTCACCTCGAACACAAAATGATCTAATATTAAAAAAAATCGTTTATATCTTTTCATCAAGTATTGTTCAAATATACAAAAATCAACCTCTTTTTTTTAATCTTTCTAGAATATTCACATAAATTTTTAAACTTTTTCCATAAATTTATAAATTTGAATGAAAGAGTGACTTTTTATCAATTTTATTTTCATTTATTATTACGATCTTCTGATAAACTATTGTCAAGTCCGAAATTTTTTCTTTAGTAATAAATGAATTGTTGTCAATCAAATTTTTAAAAAAAAAACTTTTTATTTTGCAAAGAATAAACATCTATCGTGTTTACAATTGCACAAAATTCATGCGTCATAATTGTGTTACATCCATTCTAAGCTTTTTTTTAAAAAAAATCAAGCCTATGGTCCAATGTCCTTAAGAAAGAAGATCCTTTAATATAGTTGCCTTGCAAAACTCATTTTAGTAAATAGAAACCCTATATATTTCTACGGATTTGTTATTATGTTTTTTAACTTTTGACGTGGTTTCGAGTTTCAACGGTTTTGTCAATAAGATTTAATAGTTTTGCCAGTGACCCCATCGAAACCCGAGAGCCAGGCAATTATATCCTTCTATCAATTTCAAATCAAGACAGGGGTTTATCTTTTTTTAAAAATCGATAAATCGAAAAAAAAAAATTTTTAACGTATATTTATAGAGGAAAATAACAACATTACAAGGAATTTACACAATGGAGTTGGTTACTTCTAAATTTGTCTTTTGAATACTATACTTTCGGATACGGAGTTTTGCCATATAATACTATCAAAGATTTTAACGAGGTTTATTGACGATTTGAAATTTAAATATTTTTATGTATAACCTTGCGAAATTATCCATTTTGCTATTTTTAACTTTATTATTTTTTTCGTTGTAACTTTGTAACTTCGTGAATTTCACAATTTTAATTTTCTATATTTTTCTATTTTCTTATTTTTTTTTTTTCAAAATTTTAATTAATTAGCATAATAAAATTAAATCTCGAAAGTGTAGACAATTATTGATGAAACACGACATATTAAATTTATTCTTAATATAACCTTTTTTACAATTGTTTAAAATATGAGCGAAAGAATTGAATATAACATAGATGCTTTAATTTACGTGAGTCTATACAGATACTTTCATTATTATTACAATGTTTCTTTGGAACAACTTCATATTAAAAGATTTACTTTATTAATAATATTATCATTCTGACCTATTATTAACTGTGAATTTTTCTTATAGACATATTACAACTCTTAAGTTATACAGTATATGGCAGGCAAATATTTGATGATTTTGAATAATATTTAATATAATAAATATGATTAATATGCATAATAAAACTAATAAAAATAAAAAGTATTCGTCTTAATAATTTTTTTATTTTACAGTATATTTACTTAGTAAGATTTGTTTTACAAATCGACTTTATAGTCTGTGCCTAACTGCATATATCGATGTTTAAAATATGTATATCAAAATGTCTAGAACAAAATGGTACGTTATTAGGACTTTTTTTTGTAAGTATTAAGGTATAAAATTATTTATTTATATGTTATCCCTTACCCAACCATCATATTTTTGAATATATTTAAATATTTTAATTTCAATTCGCAAGATATAATAAGAAAGTTTTATAATATAATAGAAATAATCAGTAATGCTAAATGAATAAGAAACATTTAACGCTTATCTTTAAACTAAAAAATTTCGTTTTTTACCAAATGACGTACACTTTTTTTTTTACATATATTTGTTTATTCAAATATAATGATATGGATTAATAAGTTAACATCGCTTATAAACTAGCTAGATAAATCATGTTTACAATTCGAATGTTAATGCTTCATAAGCCACCTCCCCCTTCGCCAAGATACCTTTCTCTTTTAGTGGCACAGCCCATCAATATAATTAAATAATATTTTCAGTATTTGGGTAAAAATTTCAACTAATTTATGAATTAGATAATTAATATTTAACGTTATTTTTTAAATAAAGGAATGTAAATTTTAAAAGTTAGCGTTAGGGTTAGTATGTTGTAAAATAATTTAACATAATCATTTATCAACTGCCTCGACGGTGGCGCTCTCCTTAAATTTAATCTAAGAAAAATCTTAAAATAATTTTACAATTTTTCCCAGAGAAAAAGATAACTAGAGAACATACTGGCTAGTGGACATTTTGACCAGAAGACAATTTTTCCGAAAGACATCCAGTGATCATTGGACGTTTGATTGGCTAAATTTAAGGTTAATAATATAAAGAACATATATTTAAATGATTTAGCTAATATTTAAACTCATATGGGAGGTTTGCTATTACTAACATAGTAAATCATATGATCCGTAACGTGATTTTAAGCACATGCGTATAATAATTAATTTCAATTTTAGATTAAAAGGTCCAGAGTTGAAAATTATAGAACTTGAACATCAAGACTTAACAAAATGAATGGCAGGACTGAAATAGTTTGGAATTGTGGAATGAAGTGGTATTCAAAATTCAATCAATAAAAAATTTCTGTATGATCATTTTTATTAGGAAATATGCATTACTGTAAAATTGTATTTTTTTCATTATAATATTAACCCAAACGAAAATTTATTTGTAGTTTAAATTCAGATTGGTATCAGAAGAGTTAGTTCTTCATTAAAATTTCCATTGATGGTTGTAAAGGAAATAAAAAAAAAAAAGGCGGGAAATTTCTGTTTATAGTAATATAAATTATCCAAAATGTCGATCAAAAAAAAAAAAAAAATACAGGAATATAAATAAGTGAGAATCATTTCATAAAAAAAAAATCATTAATTAAACAAAATATATCAATAAATCCATTCATTCTTTTTTTAAAATGTCTTCAGGTCAATATTACACAGAAAAGGATACCTTTTTCGTTGATTCTAGTGAAAGTATAAAAATTGAAGTCTTACATTACCCTCCCGCCAATATAAGATCGGTAAGCAATAAATAATAAATAAATAATTGTTAATCCTAAATTACTTAATACAAACGATATCAATAATTAGTTTATTATAGAATTATCCACCAATTTTATTCATTCATGGATTAGGTTCTGCGGCTTGGGTTTGGGATAATTTTTGTCGTTGGTTCTCGAATAAAGGACATGATTGTTACGCTATGAGGTAAATAAATTTTCAAGAAACGAAGAATTGATTAAAATCTTTAATTTTTTTTTAAAAATGATATCTTTAGTTTTTCGAGGACATGGACAAAGTACAAAGACTCCAAAGAAAGATAAATGGTGGTCAATAAATGACTTTACAAATGATGTATCAGCCGTGACTGATGCAATAATTGCTAGAACTTGTGATAAACCTGTTCTCATTGGGTAATTATTATCAATATTTATAATATTTTCTTAAATTGATATTAAATTCATTTCTCTTTCTTTCCTTTGCTAGACATTCACATGGGGGAGGAATTGTTCAAAATTATCTAAAAAATAATCAACAGAAAGTGGGGGGTGGTGTTTTATTTGCCTCATTTTCACCGTACATCTACAAATCAGACGTCTTCAAATACACTCGTAAAATACTTTCAAATACGCCAATTCTTGCTATCCTTAAAGCGTTATTTACATTAAACCCGTATGCATTAGTTGGAACTCCCGAATTAATGAAAAGGTTTTCCTTTTCTAAAGCATTTCCTGATTCTATGGCTAAGGATATTCATCCAAAACTCAATAAGGTTAGTTTTGTCACTGTTGTGATTGAACTTCTTAAACCTTTTGTTGACCCTTCGAAAATTAAATGTCCTATGATTGTGATTGGTGCCGAAGAAGATAAACTTTTTGATTTAAAAATTATAAAAGAAACTGCCGATGCTTATGGTGTTGGATTTGATATCATTGGAGGTGCGGCTCACAGAATTATGTTGGACCTTACATGGGAGGATGCTGCTAGTGTAATTTTCAATAGAATTCAAGAAAAAGTTGTAAACAAGGAATAATCTTTCAACTAATTAAGTTAATGTATGATGCTTTCGAAATTTTAGCACATGATATAAATAAAAAAATAAAAATGTGTCTTTTGTGAGTGACGCAGCTTTTGCGCTATTAAAATTTTTTTTTTTTTTTTGAAAAATCATTTTTCTAAAGTTATTATATATTTGGAATTATATAATAAAATTTCTTAGCTGTTATTTTTTTTTAAGTAAAATGCGTCATTACGAATGATTCATACGCATATTAAAATATTAAGTCGAATGTGTGAGAACTTTTTAATTAGAAAAATACAAAATGCGTTCTAGTGCGTGACAAAGAATCCATTTACAGCCAAACGATTGTTGTAATATGCATTTATTGAGACAAAAGTTCCGTGCGGGAACTGCTTAGATCATCAAGGTCCTTGTCTCGTCTTTAATATGTTACTTTCTATTATAATTATTCGTGTGTTCCCTATTCCCTATTGACCGACATGTATACAAATAGTAAATTGCCAGAAAAATATTTATTTGCTTCACACATTCATTATCCCTAAAATAGGTTGAATAAAGCTAAAATTATTATTTCTGCACCACCTTATTTTTGTAACACCTGTGTATGTATCCCTTGTCTCCGTTTCATATACTTCGTTAGTTAATTCCCCATAAAGAAGTAAATTTTTTGAAACGTCTCGATTATAGAAACTTATAAAATTTTTCCTTCTCTTTTAATAATGTGTATTTTTGATGGAGCATAATCTTAATTTTTTTTTTAATTTTTTTTTTTTTACACAATTATTCAAAATATAAAAAAAAAGAATGTTTAGTGAATGTTTAGTGAGACAGGAAAAATTTGACAAACAAATTTTATTTTAAATTGTAACGAATCAAGGTGTGGTTCATGAAGAAAATGGAAACCGACTAGTTTAAATTTGGAAAGTTGAAGATATAACAAAAAAAAAAATCATCCGATGATCATTTTTTGGAGTTCAATAAAAAAAAAAAAAAAATTGAAACGTATAATTCTTAATAGAAAAAGATATATTTGTACTTGAAGCCAAGAATGGAAGTTTGAATGTCATTCGATTATCCAAAGTCGAATTAGCGATCGTATAATTCGAGATAAAAAAAAAAAAAAGAAAACAAAACAAAAAAGCTGTGATTAATTTAACATGGTTACTCACGTGCAAATATTTTACCCCCATAACCAAAAGAAACAACTAAATAGTTAAATTGTTAACGTACAAGGATATTGCGCTTTATTATTAAATATCTCGTTCTTCTACAAAACTAGAAATTGATCGATCGTGGGATTTCCTTATGTGACATAAATAATTAAATATTTCTAATGAAAAAAAATTCAAATATTTTCATTGGACTCGGGTGCGATAAAGTAATGGAAATGAATAACGTATTCTTCGAAAAGGAAATTACGTTGAGGTCCTTTTACTTTCCCAACTAAGGAAATTTCGGAGATGTTCACCCAATAAATGACCATTGTTAAAAAAGTGATCATCGTTTCATTTCTGAAACCAAAAATCCAAATCATAAGGAATAATAGAAAATTTTTAAAGAAACGTTTTATAAAAAAAAAAAAAAAAAAAATCTTTCCGTGCGCACAATATTTTAACTTTTTTCATCATATTGTGTGTAGATTTAGTCAATTACCTTCTTGTTCCTCCTTTTAGTTAACAAATTATTTAATTGTTTCATCCAATACGATGATGTAAATTTGCGTAGTCCAAATATATCGATACTCGCTACATTACATTGCATTCCAAATAATTGATTCTATATAGCTATTTAATTATCAAATTTAATTTTACCCCTCGGATTTTTTTAATTTTAACCAAAAGAATCATTTATGAAACATTTTGTCATGTATTACAACATTGTCTGATCTGCAAATAATTGATTGCTGCGGTTAACCTTAACTGAAACAATTTGAGCTCGGCGGTTCGGACTTGGCTTTGTTTCATTTTTTGTTCAAAACCTGTTTGCTATAAAGAAAACGTCCCTTTTTGTGTAGAATGGGTACAATCATTTTACCGATTTCGTGAGAATTATATAAAATGAAGTACATTTGATTCCTTCATTCAACAATTTCACATCATCTTTTCATTATTTTCATACTTGAACATTTTTAAACATTATTTATTTTTTATTTTTTTTATTAAAAAAAATGCCAAAAGTCAACAACCGCAAATCTTATAAATTTGACCTAAATAAGATCAAAGAACGAATCATCATACACTTGGATGCCATGTCCAAAGAGGGCATACATTTCCCAACAAACTTACCTTTAATTGATCTGTTGACACCTTGTACCCCTAATAGTAAATATAAAGGAAGGATCATGTATTCTCAAAATAGCTTCTTCCTGTATCGTAAAGATATTAGGAATGAAATCTTACGACAACATCCAAATGCATCTTTAAAGGCCATCACAACGATAAGCTCGGAGAGATGGAAAAATGAATCCGTTGAAAAAAGAAATTTTTTTGCAGTACTCTCTAGAATAAGTACTTTGATACATAATGAACTTTCTGGTAAATCAAGTCAATTAAATAACGAGGGATTACTTTGGCCAACGGAAATACCATCAATGGCGACGTTACAAAATTCTTTTTATTTACAACAAACGAGGGTTACGAACGAATTTCAACATCAATCATTCACTTCCAGTAATACCGATAATTCGGATCAAGAGACTGGGAGATCAAAATTTTTAAAAATTCAAAATTTGATTAATTAAGATTTTAAAATTATAATTATAGACGTCAAGACATTTCCTTAGTATTTTTTCATTCATTTTTTTTTTTGTAAATTAATTAATTCTTTTCATATTGGTATGTTTTTTTGTTTGTTTGTTTTAGAGAATAAATATTCTGTACTAGTATGTATTTTTTTGAAATTAAGATTAAAAATATTTGTATGATTAATATGATCACGTTATTGCATTAGTTTTTAAAAGAAATTATAATTCATTTATTCCCTCCTTAAGTTTGTGTTTCGTTTGGTAATAACTTTGTAACAAAACCATAGGTAATCTAAAGTAAATTACAATTCATCATTTCGATTTCGATTTGGCTATTTAAAATTGTGCTCTATAATGGATTTTCTCCTATAATCAGATAAAAAAAAATCAGCCCTCAGTATTATAGTCTATATATTAAGCAAAAGTGAAATAAAAAAAAAAAAAAAAAAAAAAAAAAAAAAAAAAATCATGAAAATGGCTTCCTAAAAAATATGTAGAAACGCCAGAAACTTTTAAATGGAAAGGTTTTATTAGCCCATTGATCAGACTTCTTAATTTCCCTAACATTCTCCAAGACGCGATTATATATATATTTCAGATGCCTTGACAAATAAATAACTTGTATTCTTTGCACACTCTTAAGAAAACGAAGTATCATTTCTGTCTAACCAGTGTCAGACATTAATTAGTTTGGACACTGTATCCTTCCTGACATTGATGTCACGATGTTGTTGGATTTCTAAGAACTCGATTCTTGAACTGTGACCGATATATAGAATTAATAAAATAACGGAACCCGAAAATTTTGATTAATTTGGATAATATAATTTACTATATCTCGCACATTAATTCTGGCCGGCACTGAACAAACCATATGAATACGTGTAAAAATATCAACAAACTTTACCCTTTGACTTTGTTGAAATGTTAAAAAACCATAAAAATTCAAGAAATAAATTTATATTACTCATACTACTGGTATATTGGCTTTTGCTTTAAAGATATGTAAAGATGACAAATAAAACAAATCAAAAATTTATTTGTGAACATACCCTTTCTTTCTAGATGTAACCATTAAATCGCGAAATTCCCAAAAGCCCTTAGAAGTAAACTTGAGCAATGGAGGGTTGCTGAGATTAGGTGGATGTAATGGCTCTAATGCAACTGAATCCTGGTACACTTTCGTATGTCACACAATGTTCTATAATTTAACCGAGCAAAAGTCTGGGAAATATGATGACGAAACAGTGATTCATTTAATTCACCAAATTTTATTTTAATTTGAACTATGATACGGTAGAATTAACTAATCTGAGTAATACGAAGGAGAAAAATTCTTGATTCAATGCAAAAAATTTAGTAATTAAGGTATTTTAACCAATTATCCTGTCATTAGATCGATATGAAATCATCAATTACTAAGCAAATAATTCGATGACACATAACCATGCGAAAGTTTTAAAATTTTCCTCCCAGTAAAAATATAGATGTTATTGGCTTGGATAATTTTGACACTGGTTCTCGAATGAAGTCATTATTTCTACGCTATTAAGTAAATAAATGAAATAAGGTTTGATTAGAATCAAAATTTTATTAAAAATGAACCTTATCTCAGTTGTGAAAATCTTGTATAATACACTGTTCTCGTTGGTTAATTTCATCATTATTATAATTATTCTATTAAATATTAATCTATAATGGACTTAGTTATTAAACTCATATACTTCTCTTTTTTTTTCTTACAGCTATAAACATTTGTTAATAATAATCAACAGAAAGTGGCGAGTAAAGTATTAATTGCATCAACTTATAGCTACAAAACAATCCTATTCATCCGACGTATGTAAGTTTTTCCTAGTCACCCAATTCTTAAAAAGAATTCTCATTTTTAAGCATACCCTGATCCTACGGCTAGAGAGATTTATTCAAAACTTGAATAAATGTTTGATCAAAAGGTCGATTATACAAATCTTAATGTTCCTACGAGAAGTAAAAATCGATTTATTGCCGACATAAATCATTTCCTTAAAATTTAAAAATAAAATAGTAACTGCTGAACGTACCGTGTCGGATTTGAATGCTCACGAAGTTGGATCTTATATAGGAGAATGCCTGCTAATTTATTAAGAATCCAAGAAGAAATTCGTGAAATATTGAAACTACCTTATTATTTGTAAGGTGTATCGATTTTCCATTTTCATTTTATATAATGAGTGTTGCATAAAGTTTCGTAGAATTACAGATTTTACTTCTTTAAATAAATTAATGATTTTTTATCCTCTATTTTAAAAGATAATCAAAAATAAATCGTGTGAATATTGCTTTATTTAAAAATTTGCTTAAGTTAAAGCAAAAGCCTTGAGTTAATAGGAATAACAATTCAATAAAAGTTCAATTACTCCAAAGTGTATCTAGGGCATTTAATTGATAAAAAAAAAATCATAATCGATGATTTGGTCGATCTCTTACTTGATCGATTAAAAATCGATTTATTTGATTGATCACGTGTGATCGATTTCTTAATCGATTGCATTGTTCGATCAAAGAATAAACTAAAAATCGAATTTTAATTGCTCGACCATTGATTGATTTATTAATATTAATATAAGCATCAAAAAATTACAATAAGCTAATTTTTATCAATTACAAATATTATAGTAACTACTAAAATCTCTTTAATTTGCCAACATACAATTATACAAAAGATTATAATATTAACTATTTCGTTTTACAAACAATAATTCATTAACAGTCTCTAGTTTTAAACTGGTCTGATCTTTGGTAATTTGATTTCCAGCATCACTAAAAAGCCGCTCACTTGGAACAGATGTGGCTGGTATACTCAAATATTTTCTAGCTATTTTAAATAAAGTTGGAAATTTCTTTTTATTATCAATCCACCATTGAAATAGATCCATTTCGGGTATAACTTGTGGAGTTCTAAAATTATCCAAATAGCAATTGATTTTATCATCATTTTCATCTATTTTATATAATCCAAATAAACACGATTTAAACCTGCCCGTCAGATAATTATTTCTTGAGTTTATTTGAGGCATAACAGTTTCTTTATTTTTTAATAAATGATATTCTCTTTTTAATAAAGATATTGTCATTTCACGCACTTCTTCAAGCCATCTATACATTTTTTTAAATCTTGAATCTAAAAGGCTAGCTAGTATAGCAATTTCAGGTAGTGAATTAAAATATTCAAATAGCGCGTTATATATTGCTTTTTTGACAGAATTAATAATATTATTAATTTCTAATAAAGACATTTGTGTATTATTTGGAAAAATTTGTTCTTCATCATTATCATCATCACTTTCTTTATCATCAAGTATACTTTCATTATCTTCAGAATTTTCATCTATAGTAATATTATTATTATCTAAAAAAAAAAGAATTTAAATATTAATAAATATAATTTAATTATTTTTAATTATTTAAATATTATACTTACCACTTTCGTTAATAATATTATCATCTATATCTGGTATATAATCATAATATAATGCATAAATAGATGGATATATTAAAGAAAGTGTACAATATTTTTGACCACCTAACCATTCTGTTGCTTCTTCAATTGGTTTAAAAAGAATAATTAATTTTTTTAATAAAATCAATTCATAATCTAAAAGAATTCGCGTTCTTAATTTTTCATAATCTTTTTTAAATTCATTCTCTAGACATAAATTTAAAAGAACCCGTTTAATAGGATCTTTTAATACTTGTAATCTTTTTCAAGAAGCTAAAGATGATCCCCATCGGGTCTTGACATCATTAATAGTTCGCAAAATTTTTAATGGATGTTGATCAATTGATGTTAAATCAAATAAAATTGAATCATTTTCTAGTTGTGTATCATATCTAGATGCAATTTCTTTCTGAGTCTCTTCTAACCGTTCATTTTATTTTAGAGAATTAAAAATCGAATTAATTCCTTAAATCGTTTGGTATATAGTTTAATTTTTTCTAATCCTTTAATAACACAAAGCTGCAATGTATGTGCACTACATGGAATATTATTAACACCATCCCATTCATGAATAGCTTTAATCATGTTACTACCATTGTCAGTAATTGCTATATTTACTTTACTATCTAATCCAAGCAGTTGAAGTTGAATTAAAATAGTTTGGTAGATATTATTGCCATTATGAGGATAATTAATTGGTGCAATATAAATTAATATATCATATAATTCCATATTTTCTGTAAGCCAATGACATGTAATTTTGATATAACCTGATTTTGCGCGAGATGTCCAAAGATCTGTAGTTATAGCTGCTGTATCACATGTATGAGTAATCATTTCCTTTATAGCCTGAAATGCAGCTTAATATCCATAACCAATATCTTTTTTGATTATTATATAACATGGTGGCTTAAATGCAGGATAAAGCTTATTAATCATATATAAAAATTTTTCTCCATTTGCTGAATTAAAAGGTTGAGAATCTGTTACTAGTCAATCAGCCAAAGCATTTCTTAATTCACGTTGCTTAGGTTCTTTATGTAGCATAACTTTTTTTATTTGATCATCTACTTTTAATTGTTTCTAAAAAGTAAAAATAATATATTAATTTAATATATATCTATTTGTAATAAAAATGCGTAACAATAATGTTGTCTTACCAATTTTTCTTTTTCAAACTCTTTATGAATAGAATTTAAATGATATTGTTAAGTGCTGGTTTGAGTATTATATATGTAACTATAATTACACTCTTCTTATATTCCATTTTTTAATATTTTATATCTGTAATAAGCACGTCTATTAGTTTTGATTCCAAAATGCTTCTACATCCAACTTGTTTTATTATTTCCAAGTTTAACTCATTGAGATTCTTGCTGATTAATATTTGAAGATAAATCAACATTATTTCTTTTAGTTAACCGGGTCGAAATAATATTAGTTTGGCATTTATGTTTTCTATTCTGGTCTGGCATTTAAAAGGATATTAAAAAAAAAATTTGAATTTTTCACGTTA